TCACTACGAAAAGTAACTGCGTAATATAAACCACTGAAGAGTCCCATTATTCAGTAATTTGTCATATTCATCACTCAAATGAAGGCGAGGTTAGATGTTAGTATAATGGGGCTAAGACAGTTTTCAATCGAGTTAGTACTTAATATATAAGGCGGAGTGACTATTATTAAAATGCTCCAGGAGAAAAAAGCTTCAGGAGGATATCGCGTATCAGTGTATCTACTACCTTACAATTACGAAAATTGTTAACAAACATGATTTTGCAATTAACTATGGACCAACCCATACAGACAACACTATAAACAACTATAAACAACTATATAAACAAATTAGCGTCTACAAATTAAAATGTTTGTGAAAATTTTGTAATTATTACCATGGATAGTAAAAACAATTATCGTCAACAGAACAAGACTCTGTAATACGATTGAAAAAACGATTGAAAAGAGTATATTTATAATGTACTTCGTTCCTGTGGAAAATGTTGTATTGTTGTAAAAAAGAACATCGTTGATGTACAAAGAGAAGACAGATAACATGATGGTAGGTAGTGAAGCATACGAGTATTTTAAAACCAAATGGAGATCACACAAAAAATGGAGTAAAACAGAAATTGTCAACAAGAAAACTCCCAAATTGAATACAAGGAATCTCAAAAAATTAGTCTAATTGTTTCAACAATTTCTTTCTCGAAATCTGTTTAGATGACAAGAAAACTGTTATCACCAAGTTAATCTACTCAAGAAACTATGGAAGTTGTGTGATTTTGATGAACACACATCATCGGGTATAATTTCTATATGGGTTATTGGAAAGTAAGTCTGATATTTCCAATTTAATTTTTCCCTAAATCTGTATTGTTGATGAGAAAACGATTATCTACGCGTCAATCTATTCAAGATTATATAAAAAAGTTAAACACCAAATTGTCTTAATAATTACACGTTCAACCTATAGTCAATAGATATTTGCAGCCACAGATATTAGTACGGGTGCTAATACTTTCGTATCCCAACCACAGATTTTTATTTTCCTCTACGTCAGCATGTATAACCAGAAATCTGTGGATAACTTCACGCCAATCTCAGAATTAGGCAGGCAAGTTACCTGGAACGTTTATGTTGATGAGTGGGACAATAGCTCCCTGTAGATCAACGAAATGCATCTGAACGAAAAAAAAATCTGGTGAGGCGAGCTCAGAATATGTCACGTTAAGAAAATAAGAAATTTGGCAGGTACTACTTGCTACAGCAGTGAGGCCGGATGAAGAATCACTAGGTGCCCCTGATTACCAAAATACTCAAGACGCGAGTTTGGTAAGAAATAAATGCTTCGAGGATGATTCACAAGCTTTCTATCTTTATACAAAAAATACGGAAAACTTCAGAAGAAAGGAATAAAGCAACTGAGTTTTAATTAAACTCACACAAAGATGTGTGAATCATGCATAGAAGTGTGTAGCGTTTATAAAAACCTACTGTACTTTTCATTTGATTTTCATTTCACCGGAGGTAATCCTAATTGATTTTAAAGAAAGTTTCTGAGGAGTAGGCAATCCAATTTACACCTTTTGCCTCGCTANTTACATGTAAATTAAATTTTATATCAATGCTCTTTTGTATGTTATGTTGCGTGACGTTCCTGTGAATGCTATTCGTTTGAATTCCATAACGATTATTTGGAGTACAAACTGAGTAGGAAAAAGTTATTTTCATGTGTTGCAATGTCCATATGAAAGTCGTTGTTTTGAAAGAATTTGTACTTTTGTGTAATGCAATGTTCATTTGAAAGTATAAAGTTCTTTCTAAAGGGCTTTTTCTTCCAGTTTCTATTTGACAGAAACTCCAATTACTGATCCACACATATTTGTGGAAAGTTTATTTTGAACTCAGTTTTCTCCCTTCAATCAAAAGTTTCTCACCTTTTTTCAATAAAGATGTTTAATGGGAATGTCTAAAAGCTAAAGACACACAAACAATGTGACTTTGAACCACAATGCGATTCAATACGGAAACAAAACCAACGTAATTGCAATCTTTTCTCATAACGCGTGTCGCATCGTGTTAGGTCACTTGAATTCATTTTGTCGCCTGTTAGTGTTAATTTTGCGATATTAATTTGAAATGTATGGTATTAAGGGTAAGTAATTATAATGTGCATGAAATGGTTGAGGCAACTAACGAATTTATTTGATAAAAATCAATATCATGTCCGTCTAAATACCTTTCCAATTACCACATTACATGTAACAATTAATTCAGATATTAAAATAGGTATGATAAACTATCCTTGAAAGACACATGCCATCGCGGACTTTTTCAAACGGTTTTATTTAGCTTGCCCTGTTTGTTTGTTTGGGTCAAATATAGTAAATGAAGTTTGACCCTCTTCTTGTTGACAGATTGATCCGATATTTGGTACAGACATTTGCTTTTAATGACAATACAATTTAGTAAACTTTGTATCTTCGTAAATCCAAGATGGCCGCAACTACAAAATGGCGGATTACATACATTATTTCACAANCTCAATATGGGTATCAAATGACAGAGCTTGACAAGTAGAATAGTAGTACACTTTGAAAAAGATGTAATACTGAAGCACTAAGTGAACTAAACAGAATGAGATGATAAATTGATTTAGGCTTTCGCAGCCGAGATTGCTAGAGCGAATATCCTACGCAAGACTCGAACACCAAAATGCAATATACCATAAAGAGAAATTGTGGCCTTAAAAAACCTGAACTCAGATGAGGAAATCATCATTCTACCAGCTGAGCAGCTAGAAATGCCAAGGTGCTCTTGAAAACAGAAGGCGGTGGCTGGAATGAGGCTGGACAAAGCAGATCACCTCCAACAGCAAGGGTACTTCCTGCGGCGGGCGCCAAGAGCTCCGCTTTGAATGAAGGCAAGAAACCGGCTGCCCCACTGTAGCACCGTGGTCCCGACTTCGCATAGATAGCATAATCATATTTCAACCAATTTATACAAAACGTTAACTTAATTCATTTGTGAAAATCGCAAGAAAATCTGTTCGGTAGTTTCTGAGTTTATCGCGAGACAGACATACGCGGCGATGGTAATCTCGTATCGTCTGGGCTTCATTGAATTATTTTTGTAAATGGCAAAACCAGTAACAAATTGAATAATACGAAGAAAAATATTCAGCTTACACAAACCCATTTAAAGCTCATTAGTGAATGGACGACAAAAAATCGATTGGCTTAGAAATATGGGTCACTGTAGTCGATTTGAATAAAACGGGCGGTGCATCATATTTATCAATTATACGTACGTCACTTGTTTCGTTTTATTCAAATAGCAATTCTCTAGCGGCGACACGCATACTTAATTTTTTTCATACAACTTTGGCTGAAGTTTTCGACACGCGAGACTTTGATTGTTTCAGTAAACCATTAAGATAGCGAAGTGTTAAAGTTGTGGAGTTTGAATAAACAAAAACAAGTTTGTTTTTGAATTTTTTGTGCCATTTTCATTTAAAGGGATTTCACGCGATGATGAGGCACCGAGCGACATACATAATTCGAAATAAATATTTTTGAAATGTACATGAAAATAATTATGAACCGATACGGAAAATTGTAATAGATATCAAATATATCCGGAAACAGTATATTAAAGTTCTCTTGTGGACCACTATAATAAAGAATGGATTGACCATACCACATAGGTATGTTATTAAAAGGTGATCGGTTTTGATTAATTATTATATCAGAAAAATTGTCAGTCAGCCACAGTTGTGAATAGTAAGAAAATAATAGTGTTCAACCTCGTTAGGATAATTCTTAGAATGATGTCTCTAATTTTATTCAAAGTGGGAAAGTAATACTTCGAAAGAATGTTTTTACAAGAATTAGAAATGTAGCCAATCATGGCTGCATCATGATAGGTATTTGGGATGATGAAATCATTGATTTTATTTTTCTTTTTTTGTTAGTAGTGAACAATCTTGTTAGACTGCATCTACCTAATCCACCAGTAACGTGAGGTAAACAACCCGAAAACAAAACGTGTTAATGCAATAGAAGTCTTCAAGTTACACACAATCATCATGTTAAATTTTTGAATGAAGCTACTATATAGAAAATATTTTTATCAATCTTTTTTTGGTATTTCCACCTTCTACAATCTGAAAAATACCCGAAGAAAGTCTTAAAACTCTGATTTCCTTCATAAAAAAATGACTTTCGTTCAATAGGAAATATTTATGTTTATCTGATCTTATATTATAGAAAATCTGCCTGTATTGTGTTGAAGTTTTTTCCAGGTTCGTTAGCCGTGGTCTGCAGGTTTTTGAGTCTAACGTTTCGTCAACTACTGGGGTGGACATCATCAATGGCAATGAGGAAACAGTCACAGTGAATATATTTTTGGTATGCGTGCCTTCATTTCTATTACCTGAGATGAATGATCTGATTTGTGTGCGGTTAAGGGCAGGCAGTCAGATTTTATTAATGTTCATACCTTCTTCCTTTCGATTGATATGATCTTTGTATCTCATTCAATTAGATTGATTTGTCGGTCAGCCCGAAGCGACCGACAAATCAGCTGTAGCCGAACAAGCTCTTGAAGAAGACAGACGTTTTCCGTTCAATGATACACAGTTACTGGACAAAACCCAAAATTACTATTCAAGATTACACAGAAAGATAATGTAAATTCATAAACACAAAGATAATTTCAATCGAAAGAAAGAAGGCATATTAGATCATTAGCAAATTAGATCAGGTAATAAGAATGAAGTCACATCCACCACCGAGGAAATGAAACCAAAAACACAGAAAATGGACGAAGTAGTATATGTATGTTGATAATACGACAACACTGAGTCCGTTACCTCATCGCCTTTGATAATGTTCACCGCAGTCGTGGACGAAACATCAGGCTTTATCAAAAACCTGCAGAATATGGTTCACAAACTCAGAAAATAGCTTTGACGCAGTTTTCTCAGGCCGTTAAAATTAACATTATTCGATTTACCTGTATTTTCATCGATATCAAAAAATGAGAGGTAAGGATTTTCTTCTTCCTGTACTAATTCGTAACGGATGTCCCTTGGGTTTCCTCTGTCGCCATCTTCAGCTTGAACCCTCAAAATAGTATCGCCAGGAACGAGGCTGGGACTGAGAGTAGTAGTAGGGGGAGCGATGGTGAATATAGGAGGTGTATCTTGTTCGTCCAAAACGGCAACTAGTAGAGGCCAGCCTGCTATATTACGGGTGTCTTCCTCGGTATTCGTCCAAGGATCCTAGAAATGTTGAATGTCTGAGAAATCAAGTCGATTCAAGATGCNTTTTTATTTTCATGTTTTTAGTTTCTAATTTTGTTACTCAATTCTTATCATTCTGTCCAGTTCATTGAGTGCCATCTTGAATTTGCATCTTTTTCAAAGTTCGCTACCATTCTACTAGTCAAACTCTGTCATCTGATACCCATATTGAGGTAGTTGTGAAACAATATGTAATCTGCCATTTTGTAGCTGCGGCCATTTTGGATTTACAATGATACAGAGTTCATTAAATTGTATTGTCATCAAAAATAAATATGTGTACCGTATATCAGATCAATCTGTTAATAGGAAATGGTTCAAACTGCAATTACTAATTTGACCCAAACAAACAAACAGGGCAAGCTGAATAAAACTATTTAAAAATGAAGCATTAGCAATCATCAAAACAAGACTTTCCTTTCAACCAGAAAACGTAGAACAAGAACCCAACAGTTTTTCGCAATGACTATTTGTAAGCAATAATTCCAATTGACTAGAGTTATGCTAATGTAAGCAATTTAGTTAAATCGAATGACGTCAAACCGATTTGAAGATCGCAGAAAAACATCCAAAATTTCAAGCAAAACTTTATTCAGGTCAGTATACTAGCAAGTTTATTTGACAGGGTAGATATTTTTGAGAGGGATAAGTTTTTGGGAAAAGAGTTTGTTTAACTAAGCAGAAAAGTTACAGATTTACTGCCGCCGCTAGCTTGTTATTGCCGAGATGAAGCCAAGGTAATTGAACTAGCCAAAGCAGTAAATCTGTTTCTCTGCCGTGTGGAACATATAGTTTTTTCTCTGATTGTTTCTACAGTTTAAAAAAAATCGAGATGAACTTTAATTTTTTCATATACTGGATGTAACTCACCATTTTCATTATTTATTGTAACCGTATGTGTTAACTTCTGATTTCAAATCGTTAAATATTTTCCAATAATTATTATTATTCTCGGTTAGACCATATTTAACGAAAGATAATATGTAATATTATATATGGATAATAATTGTGTGCACAGTGAAAGTTATAGGTATGTATGACAGTAACCTGATTGTTTAATGTCATAGCCCTGTTTAAGTTACATTACCTACTCTCTGCCAAGGAACGTCTGGGTTGTTATTAACCCAGTAACTTTGTCTCCTGAAAGTATGGGTTAGTCTGTGTCAAATCCGGTAGTTCTGATTTTTTGCAGACTTGTTTGTAATGTTGGCCTAATGAATAATCCAAGTTTGTAACCTCGGGAGCTGAACGCAACTTTGTCAAAAATCGAAAAAACCGCGAAAAATTGGGTTTTTTTCTCCGATTTTGGTGATAATAACCCTAAAGGACTAATTTTTGAAATCCTGTAATTCTGATGTTTTGTTGACTTGTTTGTGATGTTGGCTTAATGAATAATCCAAGTGTTTGAACTCGTGCGCCGAACGCAACTTTGTCGAAAATCGAAAAATTCGCGAAAAATCGGGTTTTTTCTCCAATTTTGGAGATAATAACCCTAAAGGACTAGTTTTTGAAATCCGGTAGTTCTGATTTTTTGCAGGCTTGTTTGTGATGTTGGCCTAATGAATAATCCAATTTTTTTTTCGTTATGGGCAGCCGGTCAGTTGTTGACTGTTAGGAATCACACGTTAGAAGGTAAGACCTCGTTAGTCCTTAGCTCGCACAACTTCTGAGAATTGTCGTTCGTATGAGGGCGACAGCTGATTAACGGAAAATCCAATTTTAAACAGAAACAGACATATTAGATTGTAGCAAATTAAGTCTACTTTAAAAACTTATGAGGGA